GGAACAAGGGTGGGGGTTAGGGAGGGAGAGTGGAATTGGGGAGCAAACCAAGAATATGGGAGGGGGTGAGCATTAGAATTGATCGTGATGATGTGTATTCAACTCTTTTCAAAAGCAATTTATGGCAGTGTATGAGATATGTGAATGGTCTTATCAAGAAAACTGCTAAGAAAGAAACCAACTTGACTGATGTTGCCATGGGTGGAGGAGGGAGAGTTGAGCTGATGTTCAAGGCTGTGGGAAGATTTGGAAAGGGACATCATCCATCATGGTTGTGGGACACGAAGAGTCTCATTGAAGGCCCTGTGTTATGCATGCCGCCGCTGTGGAACTGGACAATGCTTCATTGCGTACCTCTGTGCCACAGTTAAAAACACAATCACAAGACAAACAATGAGACAAGGGAGAGAAAATGCTGTCCGATCGATCATGGTAATGATCGCAACCTCTTCCTGATACGACTGAACTACTGAATTGTATGATAGGTGGGTGGAGTGCCAATAACACTGTTAAAAAAAGAAGAAGAAAAAGAAATTATTACCGGTTGGTAATAAGCATTCCTTCCATCCCAAAGCCGCAATGAAAACCAGTGAATTGAATGGTAAGTAACTTATTTATTTCTTTTTTTTTTTAAATCACTTTACTGGGGGCTCTGACAGGTATTGTAGCAAACCATAATGGTACGTAAATGGGAAGAATAAAAGTATTAGGAGAAAAGATGTCCTAAGCTGTGATGTTGTGACAAGCTCCAGTGAGGACTGCCAAGTAAAACAAAGGCAGGATCTACCCACTCCTGTTGAGTTGATTCCGTCTCCCAGGGACCCATTAGAACTGCTCCACAGGATTTCCAAGGCTCCAGATCTTTAGGGAAACTGATGGCCAACGTTTCTCTCCTATGGAGAGGCTGGTGGGTTTGAACCACGGAGCTTTCGGGGTAGCAGCTGAGCTATTTGATCACTGTGTCACCATAGGGCTGTGTCACTGGTTAAATATGAAACAGCCTGGGCATCGACCGGGGTCTCTGCCCTGACACCTCATCCTGAGGGTGACAGTTCAAGCCCACCGGCCACTCGTTGGAAGAAAGACGAGGCTGTCTCTCCCTTAAACATTTTGAAAAGCCTCAGAAACCCCCAGGGGCAGTTCCACATTGTCTCCTGAGTTGCTAACCCCCGGTCTGCTCCCTGGCAGTGAGAATCGTTAAGTATCAATTGTTTAGGCTAAACAACAAATAATGTTTGTTTGGTATAAGCATTTCCCATGTGAGGAACTCTGGTGGTGCAATGGTTAAGCGCTTAGATGCTACCCGAGGGTTGGTAGTTCAAACCCAAGCAGTGCTTCTGCAGGAGGAAGACTTGTCTACCTGGTCCCCTAAAGATGGCAGCCCTATGCGACCCCCACGGGGCAGTGCTACTCCAGCACATGGGGTTGCTGTGAGCTGACACATACTCAAGGGCACCCATCAACATCCCCCCACGTGGAGGCCCTGGGTGGTGCAAACTGCTAGTGCAGGCTGAGAGGAAGTCGTGGAGACTTGAACCAAAAAAATAAAACTCACTGCCCTCGAGTCAATGTTGACTCAGGGCAACCCTACCAGGCAGGGAACAACTGCCCCTGTGGGGTCTGAGACTGCAGCTCTTCATGGGAGAAGAAAGCCTTGTTTGGTAGTTTCAAACTGCTAACCTCCGAGTTAGCAGCCCAATGTGTAACCACTACACTACCAGGGCTTGATGGTCTGTTCCTCAAAGATCAGCCTCAAGAGCGAAGCTCTACCCCGACACACACACACACACACACACACACGCACGCACGCACGCACGCACGCACGCACACGCGCGCGGGTCAATAGGAACTGAAGCTGACTCCATGTTAACAGGTTTTAACTGGCCCTTTCTCAATGAAACACGGGGGCCATACAGATCTGTGACATCGTTGTTGTTTTCAGGTGTCATTCAGTGGTTCTGACCCACAGCAACCCCAAGCCCCACAGAAGAAACCACTGGCCAGTCCTGCGCCATCGTCACCACGGTACTAAGCTTTGAGCCCATTGTTGCAGCCACGGTGTCCATCCATCTAGTCCTGGGCCTTCCTCTTTTGTCCCTGCCCCTCTCCTTTCCCGAGCACGTTGCCCTTCTCCAGGGCCTGGTCTCTCCTGACAACAGGTCCAAAGGAGCTAAGACGAAGCCTCACTGTCCTTGCCTCTAAGGAGCGCCCTGGTCGTACTTCTCCCAGGACGCGGTCGTTTGCTCTTTGGGCCGTCCATGGCACTTGCAAACATTCTTCTCCAGCACAATTCAGATGCCTCCATCCTTCTCCCATCTTCCTTCTTCAGTGCCCAGTGTTCACATGCAGACGAGGCAACCGACAAGACCCTTGCTTGGGTCAGCAGTGCCTCAATTCTCAAAGCGACACTCTTGCTCTTCGACAGTTTAAATATTTGGACCACAGCTGGACTCAAACTTTATACACTACCGAGCTAAAATACAGATACAACTGGGCATCTTGCTTTTTTTTTTAGCCACCTAGTATATTAATTAGTAATTAATTAATTATTGACCTGCCCTGGCAGGACGTTCGATTCCATCTGTGACCTACTGCAGGAACTTTAGTGGCGCAGAGGGTTACACCCTTGGCTGATAACCAGGGCAGTTTGAAACCACCAGCTGCTCCATGGGAGAGAGATAAGGCTTTCTACTCCCGTAAAGGGCTACAGTCTCGGACACTCACAGGGGCGGTTCTACCCTGTCCTCTCGGGTGGCCACGAGTCAGAATGGACTTGGCAGTAGACACAGAGAATGTGACAAATGTAGAAGCATCCTGTTCAATGGGAGCTGGTGCAGAGGGGAAGGAGAGGGAGGAAAGGAACCGAGATACAAACAAAACAAAACAACACTCACTACCATCCAGTTGATGTGAACTTAGGGCAACCCTATAGGACAGGGCAGAACTGCCCCCGTGGGTTTCTGAGACTGACTTTTTATGGGAATAGATAGAAAGCTTAGATAGAAAGTCCTTCTCTAGAGAAGCAGCTGGTGGCTCTGAACTGCTGACCTTGTGGTTAGCAGCCCAACACGTAACCGCTACTCCACTGAGGCACAGGGAGGGGAGTAGAGCTGGCTGGCCAATTACTCAGAGAGGTGGTGCTACCTGCTGCTATCTGAGCAACAGGGCCTGGTACCAGGCTGGAGCGAGCCAAAGTTCTGTCCTTGTCCCCTGCACTTGGTGAAAAGCTTGCCTCTGACCAGCAGGTGCCCTGAGCACCAGGGGATGCGTCTGCCTTTGTTTACTGCTTGGGTCACAGCCTGCCATCCTTTTCACTGCTAAGTGAACTCAATTGAGTTCACTTAAATAGAAGCAGCAGCCAAGAGATCAAAGGATACATTGCATTGGGTACATCTGCTGCATAAGACCTCTTTCAAGGGTTGAGAAATAAGGAAGTCACTTTGAGGACTAAGTTGCACCTGACCCAAGCCATGGTGTTTTCAATCATGAAGATACCATGGAATGCTGTGGTAGTTATATAATCGCTTGTCAATTTGAGAGGATTGAGTGAAGGGGTGGAGTCTAGCCTGTCAATCAGGTCATAGCCAATGAGGCCTCTGTGTGGGCATGGCCTTTGCCTGAGGATTCTAGGAACTCTAGAATTCCTGCTTGGAGACAGGAGACTGACTCTCTCTCTCTCTCTCTCTCCATATATATATATATATATTCAATTGTATGTGCATGTAGGGGAAATTGGAGAGCTGATAACAAGGAGTACGAGAAAGAAGAAAATATTCTAAAATTGAGTGTGGTCATGACGGTACACCTCTTCGCAGTATGCTTGAACCATCGAATTATATGGGTGATATCCCAATAAAACTATTTAAGAAAAAAGGAAAAGTGTGAAGATTTTACAGGACCAGATGGTGTTTGGTTGCTAGGAGTCAGAAATGGACTTAGTAACACCAGGTTCAGTTAGACCTTCACTGTTAACCACCAGAGGGTTCCAATCCACCAGCTGCTCCCGAGGAAAGGAAGCAGCAGTCTGCTTTCCCTAAAGAGGACAATTACAGCCTTGGAGACTCCACTGTAATCTGTGCCGGAATCCTTCCAGGGGCCCTGGTGGTGCTGCTTGGTAAGCGGTGACCTGTTCAAAGTACCGTCAGCTGTTCAAATCCACCTGGCACTCTTTGGGAGAATGAGGAGGCTGTCTGCTTCCCTAGTCTTGCAACCCCAGAAACTGGATAGGGGGTGGCTAAGAGTTGGAATCTATTTGATGTCAGCAGGAGAGAGACGATTCCATATGCGATGGAAACCGTTCATGTTACTGACCCAGAGGTGGGCAGTTCAAGTCCACACGGGGTTCCTATGACTCGCCAGCCAACGTGAAAATGGTTAACAACCCTAATAATCTTGACGCAAGCTGTTTCTTGCCGGGAGTTCCCCGCCTCCCTCTATCTCAGGTCTACTTTGTCAACGTCCATGTCTCCTTCGAATCCATTCACTTGCCGCCGTGGTAGATCTGCAGGACCGAGTTGGGTGTCCTTTCTTCGCTAAGGTCTCCCACACAGTGTTCAGTGGGGGACGCCTAGGGCCGAAAACGGAGCAAGGCAGTAGGGATCTGAACGTGACTGAATTGGAATTTTTACCATTTAATCGCCGGGGAGTCAGGGGAGGTTCTTGAGCTGGGCGAAGGGCAGGGCCAGCGATTGCTCCGAAGGCGTTAGTCCGCCTGCACTTGCCTCACCGGTCACCTTTGGAAGACGCCGTCACAGGCTCCCAGGCCCGACGTCTAGCTCGGAGCGCGCTTGTCGCCCTGGCAACGGAGGCTGGAAGAACCACAAAGACCCGGCGCCACAGCGCAGAGCGGTCGGCCTGGGCCAGCGAGGCGCGGGGAGCTAGATAGGCGCGCGGGGCCGATTGTCACGTGGGAATCTCGCGAAGGCGGGACTTCCGGCGGCGTGGGCTTTTCTTTCCGGTTGTTGCTGTCTACCGGCCCCTCCCGGATTGGGCCCGCGCCCCCCAGGCGCCCCGCGGCTCCCCGCCGCCGGGCCCACCGTCATCATGAAGAAGTTCTTCCAGGAGATCAAGGCTGACATCAAGTTCAAGAGCGCCGGGCCCGGGCAGAAGCTCACAGCCTCGGAGTGCGTGATGAGCGCCGGGCTCCGCGGCCCAGGGGACCGGGTGGGTCGGGAGCGGGGCCTGAGCCCTCTGGGGTGGGGGTAGGTGTCAAGGACTTTGGGGCGAGACCCCGAGGCGGGGCTAGCGTGAGAGGGGAGGGTGGGCGTCAGGGGGCGTGGAGGGCCCTAAGGGGGCGGGGCGTGAGAGGCCCGCCCCGAGGGGGGCGGGGCGCCCGGGGGCCTGGCATGGTCAGGGATGGTCAGGTTGGGGGTGAACAACCTGTGTCCCGAGGAGTTGTGAGACGTGGAGTCCATGGAAGTAGCGGTTCCTGGTCCCGGGTCTGAGGGCGGTGGGGGCACGGGGGCGGATTGGAGAGTGGAAAAAGTGAGAAGCCCTGGCCGCCCCGGGAGGTGGTCAGTGGGGTGGGTGAATTCGGGGTGTTGGCAGCGGTGGGGAGCTGGGGCTGCCGTGGCGATGGGTGAGACCTGGGCGAGGGGGTCAGGGGGAAGATCGGAGAGGAATGAAGAGCTGGGTTTCCCTGTCCTTCTGGAAACCACTGGAGGAAGAGAGGGGTGGAGGGTGGGTGCGCTGCTGGAGCCTGTGGGGCATGCGTGCTGGGGCCACGGGTGCGTGGGGCGTGCGCAGCTGGTGCTGAGGGATTGGGAAGACTGGGCCAGGATGAGAAGGGAGGACGACCGTTGTGGAGTGTGTGCTAGGAGTCTGATGGAGAGAGTCCTGGGGACTGAGAGGGTGGGTCTAGTGTGCGGAGTGACTGCGGAGGGGGTGTCAGGGTGGGGAGGAGTCTGGAATAATGGAGGCGATTGTGAAGAGGTGGCGGGCAGGAGAGAGAGGGAGGCGCAGGAAGAGTGGAGGGGGTGAGTGGCAATGGGGGTGGGTCAGGAAGGGTGGGGGCGCAGTGAGGACGTGGAGACATCTGCTGCAGGAATTGAGGCTTCCAGAGGCTCTTAGGCGGAGCCCACGGGAGGGGCCCATGAGAGCCAGGTCCGTGAGGAAGGGAGCCCAGGGTGTGTTGTCCTAGGTTGTCATGGAGTGGACGCAGGGCGCCCTCACGTGTGCAGAGCGATACTATTCTTCGGGTTTTCAGGCCCGTGAGAGAATCAAAGCCAATTGCCAGGCCTTTCTTCCCAGACACCGGGGAGGCGTGTTGGAACCGCTCGCCCTTTTGGACTGCAAATCACATGCTTAGCTGGGCTGGCTTGTGCCATCCATGCACACAGTGAGAGTGACTGCGGAGCTCAACAAGGTCTCTAACTGATGGGCCAGGGAAGAGGGTTAGTTCATTTCTTCGACCAGTAGTGAGTGGAGAGTGGGCTGGGGACTTGGTGACAGGCTATGGAACTGTGGGCAGGGATCTGCAGATCCAGGCTGCCGTCACTCAAGGTGTGGGGAAGGAGCCGGAGCAGACAGTATCCAGCTGTCGGCTGTGGTGGATGGACAGGTTCCTCCTGGTTTACCTTCTAGCAAGGCCCGCTGGGCGGATAAGCCAAGGACTGTATGCTGAAGGGAGGGGAGAGTAAGCAGGCTGGGCTTCGGTTTATACCATGTGGTTTTCCGCCCCCAGGGAAAATTCTGGGTGATTCGTGGGTGCAGCTGGGCAGGTAGAGAACACAGCTTGGGGAACCCATGTAGACAGTGAAGGGCTAAGCTGGGAGCTAGCTGGCTGTCAAGCCTCTCCCATCCTGGACTCTTTTGGGGGGACCCTTTGTGCAGAGAGATGACACGCTCTGGCCTAGGCGGTGTGCAGAGTGCCTGGGGCTCAGGGTGACCTGAAACGGGCAGCACAGACGGAGTGTTCTGGGAAATGGGGTTTTCACAGAAGAGACTAGAAAGCAGGTAGGGCCTGAGCGGGGACTCCTCAACTTGTCGACTCCATCCCTGCCTGGGGGTGATGTGGGGAGGACAGTGTGTGTGTGTGTTTTGGTGGGCAGACGTAACACCTACGGGCTGAGGTGCTGGGAAGCAGGTCTCAAGGCAGGAGGAGACCAAGGCTTCTGTTCAGCCTGGTAGAAGGGCCCTGCTGGGACACTCAGGGCCAGGCGTGATCACGGTCATCACCCCATGGGTCAGAGAGCCATCCTTCCAAAACCAAAGACCTGGCTGTTGCTGTCACGTCGGCTCCAGCCCACAGCCACGCCGGGTCAGAGTAGAACTGCCTGTCCCCTGGGCTTTTCTTCTTGGTTGTCATCTCGCCATCCCTGGTGGTGTGGTGGGGTAAGTGCTTGGGCACCAACCAGAAAGATGGGCGTTTGGCCTCACCAGGTGCTCTGAGGGAGAAAGACTTCCATGAAGGTGACAGCCAGGGGAAGCCTGAGGGGCACCTCTACTCTGACCTCCAGGGCTTCCTGGTGATAGTGTAGAAGCCCTAGGGGCACAGTGGGTTAAGCACTGGGGGCTGCTAGCAGCAAGGTCAACAGTTCGAAACCACCAGGGCTCCACGGGGCTAAGATGAGGCTTTCTGCTCCCACAAAGCCTGGGTCTTGGAAACGTCCAGGGGCAGTTCTGTCCTGTCGGGTTGCTGCAGGAGAAAGACAGGCAGTAGGCTTCTGTGACGAAGCCCACGGGGCAGTTCTCGGTCCTACAGGATCACTGAGTCGGAATCCACCCGGCGGCTGTGGGTGGGTCTCCTTATGGAAACAGATCACCGGGCCTTTTCTCCTCGGCGCCACTGGGTGGGTTCCGACTGCCAACCATTAGTGCCAAGAGTGACCATTGGTGACCTCCCCACCACCGCCTGGTGGGGTGATGCTTGTCCTTTTCCCAGAGGAAGCAGCTGAGCTCAGCGAGGTCTCTGTCACAGGCATGGCCTGAGGTGGCCAGGCAGTGGTGCTGTTGGTGGCTGACCTACCGCCGAGGTGGCATAACGTGGACATGTTGCCTGAAGGTCATAAACCTGTCTGTGAGAAGGTGGCCTGGTGACCCCATTCCCCACCTCCGCAAGGCTCGTGAGGTGGCACGAGCTGATACCCAGGCAACACCTGGCCACTGAGTGGATGCCCACTCCTAAGACTCGAAAGGGCAGACCAGAACTGCCACATGGTCCCCAGGACTGCCCTCCTGTCAGAAGCGGACTGCCACATCGTCGTCTGCAGCAGTGTGGGGGCTCCCACAGCAACGCAGAGCTCCTTCTGATAAAGTGAATGTGGGGCACCGTGGTAACAGTGATGTGGACAAGAGCTCTGACACTGCAGAAAGGTGGGGGGGGGGGGGATGGCAGAAGAGAAGAGAATGCAGCTGTCAGTCCCTTTAGGTGTCAGGGTGCTTCTACTCAGGCAGGTGCCATACTTGCCCCCATTAGAATTGTCTCAGCCCTGAGCAGTGGTGGTGTCTTGGAAAAGGGCAGGTGGCGCAAGGCTTCTGTGGACCCCCAGCCACCATGCTGGTGGTCTCCAGAGGGCACTGACTGTCCCTCCCACTTCTGGCCCTAGGGAGAAGGCCCCCAGAGACAAGCCCAACCAGCCAGCCTTCAGGCAGCCCCGCCAGGGCCCCACGAATGAGGCGCAGATGGCAGCTGCAGCGGCCTTAGCCCGGCTGGAGCAGAAGCAGCCTCGTAGCCGGGGTCCCACATCGCAGGACTCCATCCGCAGCCAGGGTGAGCAGCTCAGCCCGCAGGGGTTTGTGTGAATTCCAAAGGGGCTGGAGAGTGGCGCTTGGGGGTGGGGGTGGGGGGGAGCGGAGAGCTGGAGGCTGGTGGTGAAGGCAGGCAGGGAAGGTAGCCCTGGCCAACGGTGGGTCAGGGTCCGAGCAGGGGGCCTCCCTACACTGTCTCATCTTCACTCCCCTCCTTCCCACACAGTGAAAAAGGAGCTTCAAGCAGAAGCGACGGTCAGTGGGTGCCCGGAACTCCCAGGAACCAAGGTGGTAAGAGTCTGGGGGACAAGTTTCCTCCTCCCCATCCAAGAGGGACAAGTACCCGGTACTGGTGGGGTGGGACTCCCATGGAAGTCACCTCCGCCCTTGAAGGTGGGCTGGGGTCACCCTGCCTGGATCAGGCGAGCGCTATCTTGGCCCTGTAGCCCAGGACTGGGGCACTGCCTTCTGCTGCTGCCTCCTTGCCAACTCAGCGAGGTGGTGGTGGTGGTGGGGGGTGTCTTCCTGGAGTCAGCAGGGGGGCGGGGCGCGGCCCTGAATAACTTTGCCAGTGAGGACTCGCCATGCTTAAGATGGAAGGGATGCTAGGGAGATACTGGGGTTCACCAGGGTGACCCTGAGACTGCAGGCGGGGCAAGGTGCTCCCGGTCGGAAACCCACAGCTCCTTGGTGTCCGGCCACGTTGGGGCCAGGGCAGTCAGGCTGCGAGCGAAGGCCTTACCCCAGACTCCCCACCACCAGACCCCTGAGCCCAGAGAGGAAGGCCTGGCCCACACGGCCGTGCCGGGCGTGTTCTTCACCTGCCCGCTCACAGGGGCCACCCTGAGAAAGGAGCAACGGGACGCCCACATCAAGGAAGCCATTCTCTCGGTGAGTGGGGCAGAGCCCCGCCCACGTGCCTGCGGAACGTCTGGCCTGTCACTCATTTGCTTTCCAGTGGGTGGGAACCCGACAGGCGATGCTTGGATGAGTGGTAGAAATGAAAAGGTACAAAGGACCCCCACCCAGTTCACTGATTAAAAAAAGAAAGGTACACAAGGAGTAATGGAGAAGCTACAGCAGCTCACATGGCGTCTGCACCCCCTGGACCCAGACGCTCAGCCCCTCTGGAGCTGTTCCACGTACAGGTGGCCCCAAATGATGAGCTGGTTCTGATGCGAATCAGACACTGTCTTTATTGTCAGAATCTATCTGGCTGTGCCTGGGAGCAAACCAGAAACCAAATTCACTGCTGTTGAGTCGATACTCATTGAATGACCCTAGAGAACAGGGCAGAACCACTCCTGTGGGTTTCCAGACTGCAACTCTTTGAGTAGAAACCTCCGTCTTTCTCCCACGGAGTAGCTGGGGGTTCTGAACTGCTGACCTTGGGGTTAACATTTCCAACACATAACCACTACACCAGGGCTCCTTTTGTGGTGGGCGAGAGTGATGGTGTTTGGGAAGTGCAGTTCGTCCTAGCTCGGATCCATGGGAACATGCCATTCTGTCTTCCCACTGCTTTTCAGAAGGCCCTCTCATTTTTCACTGTAAAAGGCCACCCACTGCCCATGGCGAGCACCCAACACTTCCGTTAGGAACTTTTCCCAGATACGTCCTCAGTAGGAAGTGAGTTCCGTTGTTGTCGCAGCTGGGGACTGAGTTTCCACTTGCTGCAGGCAGAATCGGCCACAAGCATGTTGTTTTAACATGCCAGTCAGTTCTGACCATAGCAACCCCACGCACAACAGGAAACGCTACCCGCCCCATACCATCTTCACCACAATCCTATGCCGTCAGGGTCCATCTCGCGGAGGGCCTTCCTCATGGTTGTTCCTGTGGCCACTCACCTGAGTCCCCTCACTGCTGGGCTTATGGGCATCAAGGGTGCTTTTATAATTTTCTGCCGATTTTAAAAATTGCAGTTTGGGAAAGCAGCTTAGAGAGCACCAGCTCATGGAGGCTGATGGGGGAGAGGTGGGCTGCAGGCCCTCCCACTCCCTCCCTGCCAGGGGCTGGCGTAGACCTGGCGGGGCCAACTTCCATGCTATGGCTGCAGAGTGTCAAGGTCCTGTCCTGGGAATTTTCTGGATATTGGGAATTAAAAATGCTGGTTGCTGTGGATGGATTTATTCTCACAGTGTAGGCGGCTAAAGGCCTAAATCCAGGTGGCAGCTCTAAGGGAAGAAAAGCTTGGTGGAACTCGTGACTTAGGAAAGGGTCTATCTCCTTTCAGCATGGGAGACCTTGGAGGTCTCCATGTGCCTCCTGCTGACCCTGAGGATGTCTGAGGGATGTGGTCTGCTCTGGATTATCCTTAGGGTTTTTGATGGCTGATTTTTTTTTTCCTTTTGGGGAGTGGTAGACAGGTCTTGCTTCAAGGGGCCTCTGGATGGACTCCCACCTTGGGGGCCTCTCAGGGGTTCTGATTTCTAATGGAGCACACACACCCCCTTCGCCCCCCAGCACTTCTCCACGGACCCAGTGGCAGCCTCCATCATGAAGATCCACACGTTCAACAAGGACCGGGACCGGGTGAAGCTGGGCGTGGACACCATCGCCAAGTAAGGGGGGCCTGAGCACCTGTGAGGGAGCAAAAGGGTGGAGGCTCCCAGGTGAAGTTGGGGGAGGCCCCAATGAGGGATTAAGCAGATCTGGGTGGGACCCTCTCAGCCCTAAGGTTTAGCAATTCTGGCTGTACACCCCACAACCACCCTCCTCCCTGGGTGTCACAAGTGCCACATCTCCCCAAGTGTCGTCCTGGCCCCCCAGGTACCTGGACAACATCCACCTGCACCCCGAGGAGGAAAAGTACCAGAAGATCAAGCTGCAGAACAAGGTGTTTCAGGTGAGGGCCTGGGTCATGGCCAGTGTACCATCACTCACTGGTGTCCCATGGCCCGTGTTTCTTGGCAAAAGGCCCTGCAGGTCAGGACATGTAACCCTCACAGCATGCTGCCTCTTGCCTATACAGCACATGCTGTCGATTCCCACTCTTGGTGACATGCCCCTCTGGGTGACCCCATGCAAGTACATCGCCAGGCTACTCTTCCGAGGCACCTTCTGGGGTTTCACACTGCTGACCTAGCGGCCCATTACCCGGCCCTTAGCTGCATCTGCACCGCCAGGGACGCTTCTGTGCTTTGTCCTTTCCTCAGCTTCAATGTGGGAAACACGCTGACCCTGGGAGCCCAGCTGATTTCAGAGGTGCCTGGTTCGGGCCTGGGATGAGTGTCAGCATCCCTCAAGCCCATGGCTCTTTTTTGGGGACCTACCTTTGGGCCCCTGTAAGGAATTGCCGAAAGCTCCCTAGTGGCAGCGCCTGCCTTGAGCACAGATGGTGTCCAGGGGAGGGCCTTGCCCCATCCAGGGCAGGGGTAGGCGACAATAGGGAACTCAGAGTGGCCCTGAGCCCCCACCCCACTCCCCATTCCTCCTAGGAGCGTATCCACTGTCTGGAAGGGACCCAAGAGTTCTTAGAGGCCATCGGTTTCCAGAAGGTGCTGCTGCCGGTTCCTGACCAGGGTGAGGTGCTCATGATCTGCAGGCCGAATCGTTTGGTGGGGGCCTTCCTGTGGTAAAACATCAACCCCTGCCAAGAATGGTGGTCTCCCTGCTTGTGGGGGTGACTCTGTGGGGCAGGCTCTCTGGAGCCGGGACCACCCTCCATGGGGGCAGGCTCTCTGGGGTGGGACTGAGTGACCGTGGCCCGCCCTACGCAGAAGAGCCGGAGGAGTTCTACGTGCTGGGCGAGGCAGCGCGGTCACAGCCGCAGAGCCTGGAGCAGCACAAAGAGCAGCTGCTGGGCGCCGAGCCTGTGCGGGCCCGGCTGGATCGCCAGCGTCGCGTCTTCCAGCCCTCTGCCCTGGCCGCTCAGTTTGACCTGCCCGGGGACTTCTTCAGCCTCACGGCCGAGGAGATCCGGCGTGAGCAGCGGCTGAGGTGGGCAGGGCAGGTGGGCTGCAGGGGCAACCTGCTGATCCCCATAGCGTGGCTGACCAGTTCTGGGTGCTCTTCCTGCAGGACAGATGCAGTGGAGCGGCTGAGCGTACTGCGGACCAAGGCCATGCGGGAGCGAGAGGAGCAGCGGGAGCTGCGCAAGTACACGTACACACTGTTGCGTGTGCGCATGCCTGACGGCTGCTTGCTCCAGGGTGTGTGGGGGTTCTCTGGATTATTTTATAGGGGTGGGGGAGGGGCTGCAACCAGCCGGGTGGACAGTGGGCCTTGACGCCTTCTTCCTCCCCCCCGCCCCACCCCCAGGGACCTTTTATGCACGGGAGCGGCTGTCTACGTTGTACGGCTTCATTCGGGAGGCCCTGCAGAACGACTGGCTGCCCTTTGAGCTGCGGGCCTCAGGCGGCCAGAAGCTTCCCGAGGACGAGGACTCGGCCTTCACCGAGTGCGGCCTGGTAAGTGGCAGAGGGCTGTGCTGGGGGAAGAACGTGTGCAATGCCAGGGACTCCCGCCAGCCCCCCCTCTGGTGGGATACTGGTGGAGGCCAGTGGCTGTGTCCCCACAGGTGCCCTCAGCCCTGCTGACCTTTGCAGTGGACCCCGCCGTGCTGGAGGACATGGAGGCCGCAGGTGCCGAGCCCGAACCCTGGGCCCTGAAGGCCGAGTTACTGGCGTCCATGGAGATGCTCTCATGAAATAAAGCAGGGTGGGCAGTGCACTGTTTCGTGCTCCTGCGTGACCCCACCTTCCCCAGCTGCCTGCTCCCAGAGTTCAGCAAGAGGCTGCTAGGAGCCCCCTTCCCAAGAAGGGAGCGGGGAAGCTCAGCCCGGAGAGGCATGCCTGTGCTGGTCACCCCTTGGGGAACCTGGGCTCCCTTTTCTCGGTTGCAATGGCCTTGAGTGCCCTGTGGCTGACCAGGGTGCAAGAGAGGTGGGGCCCCCGGGGGCCATGTGTTGGGGAGGGGGCTGCGCCTGCTCAAGAGAGCTAGACCCCAAGGTGCAGGCCTGGAACTATGATACCGAATAAATAGGCTATTTAAAGCTTCCGGTGGTTTTTTCATTTCTGAGGGTTGGGGGAGGAGATGGAACCAGGCTTAGTTAGGCAGGCTTGTGCAGATGGTTGAGAGGGGATTGTGAGGGTGCGGCAAAATGTGCAGATCATGGGGCCCACACAAGAAATGTGAGGGTTGGTCAGTCAGAGATGGGCTCTGAAGGCAGAGGGGCCCCAGCCCAGGATGGTGGTCCACTTCTAGAAGCCAGACTGGTAAAGAAACACACCCCACCCCCAGCTTCACTGCCATCAAATCACTTGGACCCAGGGGCCCACAGGAGACCAGGGTTCGAATCCTAGTCTGTGCCCCTTGTGAGCAGCTTAAGCTGCTGCCCTGGTTTCATCAGTTTACATTAAGACTACGGAGAAAGGCCTGGTGATCAACTTCTAAAAATCAGCCAATGAAAACCCCATGTGGCCACAAGGGTCAGATTCGGCCAGGGCCTGGCATAGGCTGGGCAGTGGCCATATTCTGCATGGGGCCACCAGGGGCTGGGAGGGAGGCCGATTCTATGGCAACTGGTAACTCCAACCAGGAAACAGGCCCTGCCCAGGAATCTGCCTCATCTAGCCATCAGGACCCAAGGCCCAAGTCAGCGCCCGGAGGCTCCTTGGAGCAGTGTGACCTGGGGGACACACTCAGGTGACCAGGGTGGGACAACCACACTGCCCTGCAGTACCAGGTGGAGAAAGGAGGTGGGTCATGCAAGCCCAGGACTGGGCAACAGCCAAGCTGCCCACACCCCTCTTGCCCCCATGCTGTGTACAGAATGGAATCAGCTGAGGTTGGGGCTAGAGAATCCATTTATACACTTCCCCCCAGTGACACCAAGGTGCCCATATCACATATGCCCGCTGGGCGGTCGGCCTGCAGATTACCAATTCATTAATAAACACTGGTCCTCGGCCCCTGCCCTGGGCCATGGCCAACTGCAGTAACGCTTCACTAGGGACAGACAGGTTAAAAGGCAGCTTTGGGGGCAATTTTTACAGAGAGCAGAGAATGAGTCCAGCATCCTGTGTGAGCCCGGCTCCCAGAGGGCTGCCAAGCAGACAAAGTGCTCTGTCGTGGGGTTGCCAGTATCTTCAAGTATCCAATGTGCGCCTAAGACGCCCTCCCTGCCGAGGCTGCTCAGGACAGCAGCAGCTCACTCACGGGGTCCACGTGCAGCGAGCCTGCAGCTCCTGAGGGGGCGCCACACTCACCCTCAATCTCTGCAAAGCAAGCGGGGTCGTCTGAGCAGGAGGTGCCTGGCTCTGAGGAAGGGCTCAGCCACAGGCTTCCTCTTCCCTCCTCAGTCCAGGACCCTCCAATGTCAGTTCAAATTCCTGTCCCGTGGCCCCTCATGGTCTCACACCCTACTACCTCCTGTCTATGCCCACAGGCACCGGACCACTGCTCACCCCCATCTTCTTGGATGTCCACCATCACACAGTCACCCTCCTCTTCCTCATCCTCCTCCGTGTCCGCCTGGAAGCCATCCATGTCCCCAGCTCCAACCTGAATAGGCAAGGGTGCGGGACCTCAGTGGCCGGGGCTCCGGGCAGTATGAACCAAGTATCCTGTCTGCTCGGGACCCTCACATGCTGAGAGTCCAAGACCTCACCCCTGATCCCAGCTAAGAGCAGGGTGCTGGCCCTAGGGGATTGATGAGTGTGAAGTCAATCCAGCCACCAGCAATGCTCTTGCCACCTCCCTCTGCCCCCATCAGAGGACACTGGCTAGTGGCTGCCCCCCACTGGGAAAGCACAGAGGCCCCGTGAGCCCCACCTGAGCAGAGTACACAGGCCTTTCTGCACTCGAAGCAGTGCACACCTTCCCACAGGTGGGGGGACTGAGCCCTCATGGCGCTGGCAAAAGTCCCCCACCAGCCTTGCTGCAGGAGGAAAGCCCTGTCATGACAGCCTAGAAGACCCTGCAGGTTCTGTCACAGGCTATGAATCAAGTCCATTCACCAACCACCTGGCTTAGCAACAAGGTCTTCAATGTGCAGACACGCCAGCCATCAACCCTGCCCTCTAATCCTCTAAAGGTCACCTTCCCCTGCTGATGTAAGCAGGACACAGGCAAGCCCTGTTCAGCACACCCAGGAACTACCTCCCTCCCCCACTCCCAGCCCCGTTCCCCACACACAAGCCAGAAGCAGAATTCAGCTTGGGGTTCTATGATCACATCCCCAACTCTTGCAGCTTGCAGGGGCGGCTGCCTCAGAGAATCTGGTGGTAAGCTTTTGTTCAGCCTTCGAGACAGTTCCCCATGCATGAACCTGCCCTGACCATCCTCGCCATGTTACATCACTTCCTCTCTCTCTCCTCACTTCTAGTTTACTGGGCCAGTATGACACAGGCGGGCCTTGGTTGGGTTTCCTGTCTCAGTCCCGCTGTCACCACCTTGCAGCAGAATGATGATGGCCCCCAGCTCAGGAAAGCAGTCAACAGCAGTGTCTTCACTGCACTACCCGCCCCACACCCCTCATCTCCCTGAACCAGAGGCCTAAGGTTGAGGCCATGTGCTTGCTGTCCTGTTACCTGCAGCTCAAGGCAGTCTCAGTGGGACCCAGGGCTGCCCAGAGATGCTTCACACCCCCAGCCCCCTGTAGGCTACTGTGTGGGCCCTGTCATTCAGAGGGAACAGAGCTGTCCCATAAGGGTCTCCAGTTATGGTCTACGGAGCAGAGTGCCAGACCTTGCTCCTATGAAGTGGCTGGGGGTTTGAACCTTCAGCCCCTCAGTTCTTGGCAGAGCACTGTCACTAGGACTCCTGCCCTCAGGCCTACTCAGTGGAAAACCCCAGCATTTGCCCTGCTCCTGGGAGACATGCCCAGCAGTTGGCAACAAACAAGCGAACAGTGGGAGTTTGGCCTTGAAGACTCCCTCAGCCATGCCCTGGTCCTCCCATCTCTCTGCCCCGGCACCAGCCAGGCGAGCTCATCACTCACCTGCCCGTCGTGCCTGCGCTTCTTCATGAACTGCGTGATGCACATGCTGCCTGCCGACTTCCTCTTCAGTGGGGGTGGGGGTGGCGGTGGGGGCGGTGGAGCCAGGCTGGGCCCTGCAGCAGCAGGATGGCCCTCGTCCTCCCGGGTAGTAGCTGTGGCTGTGGCTGTGGCAGTGGCTGTGGTGGTGGCAGGAGTGGGCCCTGTGGTGATGTAGGTCCACTGGCAGGGTACGGGCAGGTGCTCCTGGGCGAAACTCCGGAGCACCTGAGGGTGGACATACCAGCACATGCGGAAGTCCGGCCGCTTCTCGTACACCGAGTTCTCAGAGATGAGTCGCTTCAGCTGTGTCTTGGAGGGGATGATGGCCTCCTCGCTGGCCGTGGGGGTCTGTGGGTGGCTGGGGCTCGGGGGGCTGGTGGCCTCCCTGCCCAGCAGGCCCTGGCGGCAGTGCTCCTGGAACTCCCGGATGATCACCTTGCTCCCGTTCACGTTCCCATGTAGCAGCGGCAGCAGATGGGCCAGGACTAGCAGGAGAGGCACGGGTCAGCCGGGCCGGGCACGGGGCCAGGTCCTGGCCCCTCTCTAACTGAAAGGCCTGGGAGTCAGCGGACAGTGACTAGCTTGAGGGGATGACGACGACGACAATGGGGAGTCTAAGCCAAAGGGCAGGAAACTGCCAAAGGGGACACAAGTAGAATATCGACCCAACACAGATGTCAACAAGGTCACCAACCAGTCTGGCTAGGAATGTTGGCTAGAACAGGCTTTCTAGATTCCCACCTGCTCCCCTAGGACCCTAGGAGGGCAGGGCAGATCAGCACAGGGGCAGTGGAACAGGGATCTTGTTTGTAGAGCAGGCTCCAGGCCTGGGAGTGGCTGTCCCACTGAGCGGGTGGTTGTGTCAGCACGGTTGGGCTGTGGGTCCCAGCATATAACATAAGGTAAGTCAGGGATCACGGTGGCTTTCCACAGTGAGAACTCATGCAATCAGAGGGCAGGGAGTTAGTCTGGGGAAGAACTGGCTGCCTTCAGACATTTTGGGGTACCAGACATCTTACCTCCACCTAACCTGTGGTGTCTCTGGACTCAGGACCCCCCAGGTGTCTGTCCCCATCCCTCCCCTCCTCGCTGGCTCAGATTCTCCTGAGAGCCCTCACTAAGATCCAATCTCCCCCCATGCCTTGGCTATGAGACCCTGGTGGGCAGGCATCCCCCTGTCCTCACTGGAATGCCAGGCCAATGGAGAACATGCACAGAACACCAGTCTAGTCCAGATGTAGAGTGACCTCCTGCCCGCCCCTTGAGGCTCACTCACTCTGCTGGTCTCGCCTCTCCCGCTTGGAGGCTGTGGGTGTCTGCTCTTCCTCGGGGGTCCCGGTGTCTAGCAGGCAGACGGCAAACTGCTGCAGCACCTTGAGGTCAGCAGAGCCTGCCTCAGCGTCCGCCCACACACAACCAATCTTCACGGGCTGCAGCACGTGGAAGCGCTGCTTCCCCTTGGCCAAAAACTCGTCCCACTCCTTGGCTTTCAGCTTCTGGCGGACCTTGTGGTTCTCAGGGTCGGCACACTCCTGCAGGGGAAGGCAGAGGCCGCTGGGTGATGCCCACCCCATGGCAGGTAGGTGTTGCCCGAGACGAGGGGGATGACTGAGTTTCCAGACCGAAGTTTGTCTGCAGCCCACTCGGTGGTGTACCCCTTAGCAGTCAGACCCCAGGCCGGGCATCCCGGGGACATCCAGCAACATACCAGGAGGGCCTGCTCAGGACTAACTGTGGAGGGCAGGGAAGCACGCAGGGGCCCAGTGGGGCACCTTATTTGGGTGGTGGTTCTGCTGATGTAGACAGTCACTTGGGCTCCCCCACTGGACCCCAGAGCTGCCCAAGGTTGATCAGACCTGAGCTCCTGCTTGCCCTGCCCCATTGTCTCCCGTCCTCCCCCAGACAATCCAGGCAGGCCTCTTCCCTGCCTCTCACCTCCGTCACGCCCTCATCCTCCGACAGGTACCCGTGGGGCACAAAGAAGCCATCGTCATCATCCTCGTCCTCTCCTGGCTCATCATCATCATCCTCGAAAGGAAACGCCCATTGGCACCAGGTAGCAACAGGGCATCCCTAGATGCCCGACTGCCAGTTTACAAGCATCTAGGCAGCCACCCCACCCCCACCTCCCGCCAAGGCGGCCGCTGTGGCCAATTCTCTTCTATGGTGGGGCTGCCAGGGGACCAGCATGCCTGTGTGCCCCCGAGGGCTCCCAGTCTGATAGCCAGAGATGAATGCCCCAGCAGGCCATGAAGAGGCCAGTGTCCTGCTCACCCCTTCACTGTGGGACAGGGACTCTCCAGGCTCCTCCTCCTCCCACTCTTCATCACTATCCACCTCGTAGTCCAGAAGCTTCTGAAATGAGAGTGCACAGCCTCTCAGCACCACAATCACAGGGGAGATTCAGCGGAGCAGGATGGCCCGATAGCTCACAGGCTCTGGGGGAAACAAGGCAGGGCAGCCAGAGCGCTCACCCTGTCCTGGGCCCAAGGGCTCCGGGGACGGACGACCACTGTCTTCTTGTTCCATGTGCCCCAGTACGCCGGCCGGTGGTTCTCAGAGAACTGCAGGAGCTTCAGCCGGCCAAACTTCCTGCGCTCGGGGACACCGCCTGCCTCGCCGCTCTCCACGATCACCACGTCACTGAGGGACAGTCCGCCACCCTCAGCTACCAGTGTACACAGCACCTGCCCGCCCAAGATGGTCTGACAGCTGGCCAGCCCCACCCCGGCCACCTGTCTGCAAAGGAAGCCTAGGCTACTTCTGGAGACACAACCTGAGGCATGTTGTGGGAACGGAACAAGGTGGCAGAACAGCCAGCTGTCAGGAAGTAGACTGTGGATGGGCAGACAGTGCAGCCCCTGGGAGTGCGTGCAAACGACCCAGAGCCCGATGACGAACTAAAGGCTGTTGCTTTGAATCCCCAGAGGCCCAGCAGAAGGCAGGGTGATCTGTTGGTAGTCACATCCCTGAATGCCCCATAGGGCTGTCATGAGTCGAAGGTGACTCAGCAGTAACGTATGTGGGAGACAGAGAGGGGGAGCCCTGGGTGGGGCTGGCTCCCAGGAGCTTGCCTATTGAAGATGCTGGAATCCCGGCTGCCAATGATGGTGGGCCCGGATCTGAGGGGCTGCCGGCCTTTCAGCTCCTGCAGGAAGGAGGTGCCGCCACTCTGCTGCTGGAGGGCCATGTCGAGCTGCTCACAGAGGCCCTCGGTGAAGGCCGTGCGGCTCAGCGGGGCGAGGACCATGTGCTCCTTAATCTCAAACGGGGCAAACTTGCCACAGGAGCCAGCCAGCGTCTGGAATGGGGTGGGGGTGCGGGGCCACCTGCTCAGTATGGAAGGTGGTGAGCAGCCAGCACCCACTGGGCTAGGGCCATGCACCAAGTCCTGCATAGCCAACACCACGAGCACACGCGCAGAGAGGCCTGCCTGCTGGGGGACGGTGCTGACACTCCAGTGACACTGCCGAGGGATAGAGGAGCTCAGGGAGCTGAGGGGTGGGGACCAGAGGGAGGCTGCAAACCTGAGTGTGTTCGGATGCTAACCAGAGGGTGGAGGCTGGCATCTGTCTCGGAAGAAAAGCCTGGCCACCACCTCCCGAGCCCCTGGAGTTAAACCTGACAGACTGCTCACCAACCTGCTGAGAACACAGCCTGGCCACAGATCTGGTTGCAAGTGGGTTTAAACCCCAGGAGAACACAAAATCGGTTAATCAATACTCTGAAAACCATCAGTTTGATTCCAGAAAGTAATTGTTTTGATCCACAATGAGTGCCAGTGTAAATAAAAAAGACAAGACGGGTCTGTGAAGGATGACAGCCTGGCCCCACAGGTAGGAGAGGGAAGGACCAGAAGGACAGGCAACATCCCTTTTCCTGAGCCTGGGGTCACCAAGGGTTGAGCTAGCTCCTCCACACACAAGTCCATGCAAGCTGAGGGGCAGGTATGCATGTGGGGAATGCCCATGGGGGGAGAGGGGTACGGATCAGGGGTCACTCTGCACAGAAATTGTGCTAATTCTGTGCTGCTGTTTTGCAGCCTGAGCTGCCTGGGGCCTTCAAAGGGTCGTTGACAAATTCTACCATGTTCTCACTCCATTGCCCAAGGGTGAGACTGCAACCTTCCTCGCCTCTTCCCCAAAGCGCCCAATAAGAATGAATGCTACCAAACTATCCCCTTTAGTGCTTCTGGCACGTGGTGGGAACAGGTACGGTACTGCCGGGCCTGGTGGGGGAGATGCCTGCCTCTGCTTTCACCGAGCCTCAGAGAGGAAGGCGGGCACTCACCCTGGGGGCTTGTGGGATCTTTGGTTTCTGGAAGAATCGGGTGATCTCAGCCTTCTCAGCTTTGATTCGCTGCAAAGTAAGAGGTAGGGGGAGGGGACAGCATGTGGGCTTCTCAACTCACATGGGGCCCAGTGGCTCAGGTAGGCCTGGGCTCCCACTCTCCAGCCCCTAGGACTGTCGACAAGCTGGTCACCAGCCGGTCTCCAATGCCACCCAGGAGAGAGCAACAAGAGCCATCTGCTGTCCCTTGAACACCCACCCCACTAGCTGACCCACCTCCCAGGAGACCCTACCTTTTCTTCTTCTTTTAACCGTTTCTCCTCCTCCTTTTTCCTTTTCTCCTCAAGTTTCGCCCTGAGACATGGAATGCCGGGTGAGACATGCCCAGGGAGCCCCATGCCATGGCTGCAACTCATCGAAGGGTTGGCAGCTCACAGCTGCTTCTTGCTCCCTGCCTGGCAGCTGTGGGGGTTAAGCCTGCTCTGTCCTCCTTCCCTGCTTCCAATCCACCCCCCAACCCCCCGTCTGCTCTGTGAGGGTTGGGCCTGCTCTGTCTCCGCCCAGGGCAGGCCCCACTCACTCAAGCGCCTCCTGCCTCTCCTTGCGCTTCTCCTCTTTTAGCCGCTGCTTCTCGGCCTTCTCTTTCTCCTCCTTCTCCCTCCGCTCCTTCCTCTCCTTCTCCTTGAGCTCTTTCGCCTCCTCCTTCTTCTTTCTGGCCTCTTCCCGGGCCCTCCTGGCCTCCTCTTTCAGCTTCTCCTTCTCCTCCTTCTCTGCTTGTAACCTCAGCTGCTTGCCAAGGCGCTCTTGGTCCTGAGGCCAAAAGACAAGTCACCACCAGGTCCCCCTGTCCATTGCCCAGGGCCAGGGAAGGACTAGGGACCAGGGTTGGGGCAGCTTTTGTAGCCGTGGGCACCACTTCCTTTGTGGGTAATTCAAAATGATGCAGTTAAAAGAGACCTGGTAGCCTAGCGGTTGCACCATGAGCTGCTAACTGAAAGCGTGGCAGTTTGAAACACCAGCCACTCCTCAGGAGAAAGATGGTTTTCTACTCCCAGAAAGAGCTGTAGTCTTGGAAACCCACAAGGGCCGTTCTACCCTGTCCTATAGGGTGACTGGGAGTCAGCATCGGCCTATGGCACTCAACGGATGGGAGCAGCGACTCTGCTGCAGCCCCACATGGAGACCACCTGGCTGACTAGAAGTCGGACACAGAGGAGCAGAGGCTGTGTACTCCAGGGGCCAAGGAGGAGAGGAGAGGGAGCAGGTGGAAGGCAAGTCCTTGCTGAGGGCCCATGGGACCTTCCCGGAGAGCTCTGGGGTCGCTGGGAAATGACTGCAGTGCTCGCTGCACACACACGAGGGATGTCCTCGATGTCACTGTGTTCTCTGTGTGAATTGCTCAATGGGCCAATAAAAAAAAAAAAAGTATAATTACGTGGTCAATGTTTTGTTACAGGTATTTTCCCCACAACTACAAAAAAGGTAGGTCTGAGTTGGAAGGTAGGTTAGAAGAAAGGGGGCAGCTTATGGTCCTATCTCAAAAGACCCACAGCATTCGCCTCTTCTGACGCAAAAAGCAAACTGTCCTGGCTCACCACCACCACACCGGGTTCCAGGCCCGACTTTCCCTCTTTGGCAACAGCAGACTGGCTGAGGAAGGGGCAGGGAACCTACTGGGTAAGCCATCAAACTGGACAGAAAAGTCAGAAGGAAAACCACTACCACCACCCCCACACAAACACGCACACAGGCATCTTTAATCCAGGCGGACTGTTAGGTGAAGAGAAAATGGACAAGGAGTCCCCTCTTACTACTGTCACAGTGGTCTCAGCACAGGGCTGCTAACTGAAGCTGGCGGTTGGAGCCCACCAGTGGCTGGCTCCTCGGTAGAAAAATGCTGCCTTCAGCTTCTATCCAGACTTCCAGCCTGGGAAACCCTCTGGGGCAGCTCTACTTAGTCCTATTGGATGACCATGTGGACACACGGCAAGTAAAGCAAAGGCAAAGTGAGGGCGGGAGGAGCAGAGGAGGCTGGGCCAGGAAGCTGGCTGGGTCTCGGGAAGTAGGGCTTACTCTTTGCAGTCTGAGCTGGTGCTTCTCTGTCGAGTCTTTGATGCATTTCTTGGTCATCTGCAAGGACAGACAGGGTTTCCCCGTGAGCACACCAGCTGGAGTCCACATGCCTCGGGGAAGCCGGCGAGGGAGCCCGTCAAGAGAACCATTAAGAACTTTGTTAAACAGGGAAGACACTTTCCGGGGACTAGCTTCCACCGTCAGGGAGGTTACAGAGTCCAGACCACAAGGAATGGGCGGGCCAGCAGTCTGGGAAGAAGAGAAGCCCGAGGCAGCAGGAAACAAGGACAAGTTCAGAGACAGGCAGCCCAGGCACCAGAGGCCTCCACTGAGCACCAGTGTGGCTGGGAAGCTAAGAGCTGGCACACCTCACCTGGTAGACAGGTTTCAGTGGTGCTTCCAGATGAAGACAGGCTGAAAAGAAAGGCCTATCAACTGGCTTCTTAAAATCAGCCCATGACAGGCAACCATGGTCCTGGGCAGCCTCTCTTCTGTCAGGAGTGGATTGGAACTAGCCCAATAACAAGGCCAGAGAACATTAGAGAGCACTTGTCCTGCCCAGAGGGGCAGGCCTCCTACTGGCACGGGCCAGCTGAGACCGGAAACCTGATGCTCTTTATCAGGCACCGAAATAAGGACCACGATGTGGGTCAGATACACTAGTCTATGGCAGCCTGTCCCAAGGGCAACTGGTCCATCTGCCACACACTCTGCCCCTGGAGAACTCTCAGCAAAAGCTCAGGGGAAAAAAGGTGGATTTCCTAAGGGTGGCAATCTGCGCCAGGCCATACAAGCTAGAACAATGCACCCACCCACAAGGAGTCACCCAGCCCTGTTAGACTCCAAGGCAGGCTCCATCACCACTCCAGCTAAGTGATCCTCCTTAGGGACAGGAGCGGTGAGCTCCGACATGGGGCACCAGCGCTCCCCAGAGCTGGTGATCCTGGAGACTCCAGGGGAGGAAGAATCCAGCTGTAAGGAAAGGCCTCTCCAGGTCCATTTAGCCCAGCACAGCACTCCCAAGGCACCCCGCACCACCACCACCACCGCCCCCCGACCCCAGTCCAGAGGCACCTTGGCAGACAGGTCTGCTGATGTGCATGGAGAGATCCACCACATGCAGGCGCAGTCACAGCCCTGAAATCCCCTCAGAGGATGAGGGGACCACCGAGTCAGAACCAACCTGCCTGCCCCTAACAGCAGCAGCAGCAGAACGGCCCAGTGCACCCAGACCCCTGATTGAAGCTACTCAACAAAATGACAGCAGGTTTGGGGAGCACCAGCTACAGGGGAGGCCTCCAGCTGAGTCATCACTGGACACCTGCCAGGAGCTGAACTGGAGAAAAGGCGTGCAACACATTTACAACAAGACCAAGAAAATACCCCCAAACGGAGCAGCTGCTGAGGCTGCTTCTGCACCAACAAACACCTCACAGGTTTGGCTCCTTGGATTGGCGGGTTAGGGTAACATCCCAGTGAACTGGCCTCGGAACACCATTCCAGAACACACCAGTGTTCTGGCCTACCTCCTAGATCACTGATGAGCACCACAGCACCTGGGGTCTTAATCTTGCAGATCCAAGTAAGAACATTACGTCTCCACTAGCCTGGAGCAAGAAGAATTAAGAAGAGCAAGATCAGGAAGGTGGGTAGGGAGGAGGCAAGAGAAGGCAAACTGTCTCCCAGAATAAATGGCCCTTTGAAGGTGCTGGGATCCTAGTATTGATTGTTTTGCTCAAAGATGCCATAGACTAAGCCCAAACAAAAGGGGGGAAAATATCTGTATTTTAAAGATATCAGAACTTCATATTCCACAGATTCCAGACTTTCTAAAGCTATAGAGGTTGGATGAATCCCCCAAACAACTGCCCAGAAGTCATCTTTAAACCTTCAACTAAAATGCCCCGAGGTCTTCTACAAACCGAACAGTCAAGTTTAAGGAGCAGGGTGTTTCCCTAGAGCGCCAAGCTCACAGAGTGCAGAATGACCAGCATCACAAGAGATCAGATCAGAAGCTTAGGGCAGTGAGTTCCTGTGTCCGAGGGAGGAACAGCCCAGAGGAGGGGAAATGTCTGTCACTCGATTTGACACTGAAAACTGAACGAGTGCATGTTCTGCTGTGTATATTCTCCACAACAAAAACAAAAGCAACTCTGAAAAAATCAAAACTCAAACTCACTGCCATCAAGTCAATTCTGGCTCATAGCAAGTGCACTGCCTCTGTAGAGTGTGAGACTGCAAATCTTTAAGGAAATTGAAGGCCTCCTCTTTCTCCCATGGAGTGGCTGGTGGTTTTGAACTGCTGGTCTTGTGGTTTGCAGCCCAACACCTGGATTCTTAAATAGACAAGAGTGGAAAATTAAGGCACTTGAGGGGGCATTCGTCTTGCTGGACTGGGAGCCTGTGGCCACGTTTTTTCTGATCTCTGATGCTCCCTCAGGGTCAGTATAGCGAGGAGGCAATGTGCCCAGCCAACCCCCAAGGCAGGCCTGCCCAATGGCTCATTGCCCAATGCCTGCCCATCCTCTGGATGCCTAAACTGTGGCACTGTGCTACGACACCTCTGTGTGGTGGCACACACTGGGCACAACTGCCAGACTCCCAGATGAAAGGACTGGGGACTGAGGGACGATCACTTTGTCTAGTCCAGCCTGTTGTTCAACCTGCTGCCTTCTATGCCCAGACCACCACAGCTGGCAGAATGACCAGGAGCCCCACTGGAGGGTTCCAACGGTGCTTGTTGGGTATCACAGCACACACGAGTGACAGAGCACACCTGCCCACACGGTGGCCTTGGCAGTCACCATCATGGGAGCATACCACCAGGCCTTTCTGCTGCTGAGCCCTGGATGGTTCAAACTGCCCACTGTGCCCCCAGGGCTCCTTAGATGGTCCAGGAGTCACAACATGGTTACTCTGCAGGGTGTGTGATGCACAGCCCAATCTATTGCCCCTGTAGCTTGGCCAAGGGCGAGCCTCCTCCCAGCCAGAAACCTGATGCCAGGGGTTAAAAAACAAAAACCAAAACACCAGAAACAAAACAGTTATCAAAAAAAGATCACAAAAGAAATGCTCTTGAACTAAAATTCCTGCAGTTTCTGGTGTAT